GCACATATTCTATCTTTTTTCAAAAATTCTAAAACCTTTGAGCTATAATATTATACATCTCGGTTAGAAGTGGGAGTTATGTTGTTGTAGGTGGGCACCATATTGCTTTTTGAAAAATAACTCCTTATGGTGTCACTTTCAACTATCTTACCTATAACAAAGAGTTTCACACTTTCTTCAAGACCTTCCTATCTTGGGAACACCACCTTATTCCTAAGAAGCTTTTTATTCATGGTAGCTCTAGGTCACTTAGTTTATTAGGGAGGCAAGGAAATTTTATTGTAGATAGCTTAGTTCTTAGGAGCCTAAGTGATCACACAGAACACCAAAGGCATGTTTTTGTAGATTTAGAGAAAAACATCTTTTTGAAAAGCTATAGAAATATAGTCTTGGGTTAGATATTGTTGTAGGTCTGATGGAAGGATCTTGTAGGAATGATTGTTGTTCTCTTCCAATCTCCATCTTCAATGTCCAATAAACTCTTGAGGTTCTTTAATGGTGATTAATGGAAGCAAAACAAGTTTCAAAAGCTTGAGAGAAACCACTCTTGTGGTTCAGTTTCTTCTTGAAGAAGAAGAAGAATGGAACCAAGCAACAAAAGAGGAAATCCTTTGAGAGGTTCTTAAGGAGAAGAAGTTTCTCCACGGACTAGGACTCTTGAGTGAGAGAGAATTTTCTGAATTTTATTTCTCATAAATCTTCAAAAGTGATTACAAGTGCAAGAAAAAGGCTTATATAGAAGGAGATAGTTTGTGGAGCAAGCTAAGCTTAACCATGGTTCAAGAGAACCATGGTTGGCTTAGCTTAACCGTCCACCTTGGTTTGGGAGGCTTGTGGAGCAAGCTTCTAACTTAGTAGCTTGGGAAGCAAGCTAAGTTAGAAGCTTGTAGCACAAGCTTCCCAAAGGCTCCAAGAGGAAGAAGCAAATCCGACCATGGTTGGGGAGGGGCGGCCTTGGCTTGTTTTCTCCATTTAGTCCAATCCAAAAAAAATTGGAATTAGTTTAGTTAGGTTCACCCAATGATGGTGAGTCCTAGCTAAATCAATTCCTTGAAAAATATGGAGCAAAACAAGTCCAATATGTAAAATTTGGCCTAGGCTCAACTTTGACCCATTTGCTAGTTACACCCTCAAGCCTTGCTAATTGTCACCCCACTTCTACTACTGAAAAATGTAAAATGAGTGACCTTTAATACAAGGTCAAATGGAGCAAAAGTCTCCAAAGAACCTACTCTAAATACACAATAGAATAGTCTATAAAAAAGAAACAAAGTGTCTCACAAATACAAAGGCAAAAAGGAACCTATACAAGGGAAATTATGTACAAAAGAACTATGCCTTCTCTTCAAGATATGGTGGTCCACATGAAGATTCCCTTGGACTTAAAAACCCCATTACCCTTCAAGCTATCCAATCCCTCCTGTATGCTCTTGGCCATAGCTCTAGTAATTGGGCCCTTGGCCCATGGTCCATCAAGGTCCTTTAGCTAATTCAAAAGGGGTTGAAGAGAACCCGAAGAAAATAAAAGATATTAAGGATAATTGCACCTTACATTTAGAGAGAACTAAATAAGTTAGACTTTTTTTCATGTTCATCAAGTAAGCAACACCTGTAGTGTTTGTGATACACTTTCTATTGAAGGTGTTAAAAAAGAGGAAGAAGATGCTTTGGATTTGAGGATAAATTCTTTTGAAAAAGGGAGGGTATGATGACAACACGCCTAAGGTCAAAGTACAAAAAGAACCTAGAGAAGTGGATTAGACTTGAAGGAAGAAGGCTCAAACTCATGATGAACTTTGGGTATATTTTTAGTAGTCAATTTTCTCTTTTTGTAATTTTTTTTTATTTCAAACCTTGTATTTTTGGTCAAATAGATTAGAAATTTATTTTGTTGTAATTTTTCCTTTTAAGAGTGTATTTAGTATTTTAGGTGTGGTGCAACTAATATTTGGAAAATGTACTTATTTGACTTGTTTGGACCAAGAGAGAGTGGGAAACACTCTTACTCAAAGGGGGACATCCACTTTCTAAAACTCACTCTCTCATTGACTTTAGACAACTAATGTGTTCCACACACTAGTTACGCCTTTCGCATGCTTGCTTCTACACTTTTTTCTTACTAACACACCCCATCACACCCTTTACACCATGCCATGTGAAAATCTCTCATTTATTCTCCCAAATATAAGATAGGAACTTCCAAAATGGAGGAAAAATTCACATTTTAATTTTAAATTTGAATTAGAGTAAGTTGGCTTGAATACAAGTTAACCTAATTTTGATTAGTTTAACTTACACCACAAGCTACCAAACTCTATATATACACGTAACCTCATGTTGGAAGAATACTTTTGAGATTAATGAAAATTGAGATTGATTTTCCTTCATATTCAAAAGTCTTTAGAATCCCTTTGTTTGAATGCAACTCTATTTGAATCTTTTATCAATGATCATTTCCTTGTGTGAGAAACCTTTTTGACTTATCTTCTCTCTAGAATTGGCGTCACTATTCCTTGTCTCTTCCATTATTTTGAAGTTCTTTCTTCTTCAAAGACCTCATGGATGAAAGATCAAGGGAGCAGGAGGAAGTTAAGAGGAAACATAAACCTTCCTTGAAGCTTATTCCATCAATTTCCTTATCTTATATTCTATTTTTTTTTCTACTAATGAATTTTTAAGGAAGAAATAGAAAAAAGATGCGTATATAAAAAATAAAAAAATACTTACATTTTTTTACAATAGATGCACAAAGTGTCTTTTCCTTACTTGTAATTTATAATTAGTATTTTAGTTTATGCAACGCATAGGTTAAATGTTTATTATATATAATAACTAATATCTAAAATAAATTATATATATAAATAAATATTATGTTTGAATATATAAATTATGCTTAATTACATTTTTTATCTCTTTAATATCGTAATTGTGTGATTTCAGTCCCTAAAGTTCTAATCGAACAATTTTAGTCCTTTAAGTATCACAATTATATGATTTTAGCCTTCCAAATTTTAATTAAGCAATTTTAATTCTTCAACTATCGCAATTATACGATTTTAGTCTCTCAAGTATTACAACTATACAGTTTTAAACTTATTTATGTTACATATATTATAATTTTCATTTATGTATTAAATGATATATATTTACTATTATTAAAATAACTAATATATGTAATTTAAATAGGTACAAATTTGTATAATTACGATACTTTAAAGACTTAAGTCATACAATCACGTTACTTTAAGGGTTAAAATTGCTCAATTAAACATTAAAGTGCCAAAATTGCATAATTACGATATTTGATGGACTAAAATTGTTTTATCATAATTTGAGGGATTAAAATTGCACATCAAATATATTTGATAGACCAAAAACTCATTTAAACCTATAAATTATATATAAAATTTGAATAAATAAATACTTTTACATATAAATTATATTTTAAATTATGATAAATAATTTGTATTGTAACACGAGATTATTTTTATTTATTGATAATTTATCTTAAAATATTAAAATTTAATATAAATAATTATAATTAATAAAATTCGAATTAAATATAAAATTAAAAAATCCCTAAAAGTCATTTCTATCAAAGAAAAAATCCTAAAAATATTCTTACACAAGATAATCATTTGTTATATATAAGCGTTGATTTTAATATAATTTATATATTAAAAATACTTATTTAATAAATTTTAATTACATGAAAATGAAATATTTATAATTATAGTCTTTTTAAACTTTCGGATCCAAAACTAAATATATATAATGAATGCTTTGGTTTTGAGTTATTCGTTATTTAACTTGTATAATATTGTTGGGATACAAATAAGTTCGACATTGATAAAATAAGAAAAAAAATAACAAATTATAAAGCACATACATACTCCAATGTTAGAAAGGCCTTTTGGGTGATGACCGAAAGCAAAATCATGAGGGCTTAGGCCTAAAGCGGACAATATCTCATCATTGTGGAATATGCTTGTGTAATAACTTTATAAAAATAATTCTTATAAAATATCCCCTTAGACAAATACCATAAAAATATCCCTCAGACACTCTCTGGTATCAGAGCCGCAAGGTTGGATTAAAGCAACTCCAATGGGAGTTGCTTGTCCCATGAAACAACTTAAGCCCCGATTTCTTGCCACTGGAGGACTCTGACGTGGCAACATGAGTTGCTTGAAGAAGAGAGTTGTTTCCTTAAACAACCGTTCCTTACCAGATTTCAAGCAGATCTTATTGAACATATTTGAGAGCGTTTCAGAAATAATAATGATGAAAATTAATTTCGTACAATGTTTATGTATTTACTATTACTTTATTTTATTTTTAATATCTATTTATCGTGTATTTTTTCTCGTAATTTATTTTCTTTCATTATAGTGCAATTATCCTTTTTAATAAAAATTTAAATTTGGTTCATAAATGATTAGAAATAAAATTTCTAAAAGTTGAATTTCTTAAAGTTTCTTACCATTGGAGTAAATTTGTGTTTGAGTTACTTAATGCTGACATGGCACACTAGGAAGTAGGAACCACTTTTTTCATTTTTCAATGCATGAAGCAACTCAAATGAGTTGTTTCCATCGAAGATACTCTTAGGTCCCTTGTTTGATGGGAGAATTGTTAAGATACAAACAAGTCCCACATTGATAAAATAAAAGAAAAAATAACAACTTATAAAACATACACATACTCTAATGTTAGAGAGATCTTTTGAGTAATGACAAAAAACAAAACTGTGAGGGCTTAAGTCCAAAGCGGACAATATCTCATCATTGTAGAGTTGTGTGTAATAACCTTATAAAAATAACTCTTATAAAATATCACCTCAAACACATACCATAAAATAACCCATCAAATATGTAACTAGTGGATCTTCATAGACTACATGGCTGCTAAATAAGGTAGAACCATTATGTTTCATAGAAAAATACACATGATTGCATTGTGGTGAATTAAGTGGGATTAAACTTTAGGCACATACTAAATTACTAAACAATCAAGGATAATTATTACATTAAAAAAAATCATTTGTTTGAAACATAAACCGTGTACCTCACATATTTCATATAATAATTTTTTTTTAATTTTTCCCCAATAAAAGCAAAATTGCAAGATGAGGAAAAGTGGCAACCCTGTTCTATATATGATTGAAAGAAACATGACATGAATATTATTTCAACATAAACAAAGAAATACATGGCAAAAATGTCCATGCTAGAAATGGATCAAAACTGGTTAAGAGAGGCAATCAACATAGCAACAATGAGCACAAGAGAGATGAAGCCCTGTGAGGCTGAAGATGATGCAGGTGAAGAAGAAGAAGAAGATGATGAAGAAGAGGAAGAGTTCCCAGACACTGTTTTAATCTTCACCTTCATGCCTTGACCACAATGCCCCAATGTGCCACATGCAAAGTAACGTGTGCCAGGCTTGCTCAGTTTCACAACATCATTGCCACTGCTCATTGAGTTCACTGCATTGCCAATATCACAATTCTTGTACTCACTCTCACTACCTAGCTCAACCACACTATGCAAAGAAGAGTACTTGAAAACTGCCACAAGAAAAAATAAAAATAAAATAAACATACGATCTTATTAATCAAATTAAATACAGTTTTGAAAGGAAACAGTCTTCCAATTCATTCAAGTTTTTAGGTTAGAGCCTCATTTCTATGTATAACAAGTATAACTTTTTTCATACTATTAACTAAAACATTATGAGTTCATGGGAATTACAAGTACACCAGAATTCGAATACAAGACTTGGTACAAACATTATGAGTATGACTAATAATAACGGAAAAGGAACTTTTAAATAGGTAAGAAACATACCAAGTTGATCTCCAACCTTAAATGTTTGGCCTGAAACCCAGGAATTAAAGTCTGTGGATTCATCCCAACCTTGGCTTCCACCAACTACATGTTGTTCTGCCATGGCATCCTTTGTGATCAAAGCAACAAATAGTGCCAAAAAAATTGTGTTCATGCGCCCCATCTTTGTCTCTCTTTTGGGTCTTTGCTTTCTAATTTTTGGGTTATCTTGGCTATGTTTGAGCATTGTTATAATTCATTACTATTTATACTTGCAATCGGTGAACATCCTAGACCCCACTGCTAACAACTAACTTATTTTAATATGTTATTCTTACGTATGTTTAAAATAATATTAAATCTGAGTTGTTGTTTTATTATATCATGTTAGAAAATATATATAAAAAAAAAAATGCTTCCATGTAGTTGGCTCAACATAACGTGGCCATCTTTTGGTCAAAACAAATAGTGGACTCCTGTTTTCAAGTGTTTGCATTGGCCGCTAAGTAAAATCTGGTGGGTTAAAGTTGTGAAAGCTTTGCGTTCAAACAAAGTTAGCATGAATCATCTCATGGGGATAGCTACTCTGGAAGCTCAAATTTTAATTTGAATGACAGATAATAGTCCAAATAGAGAGGGGGAAAAGGAAATCAAAATATAGATACATCCGGTGTATGTTTGAATATCTGTTTAAAGTCATGTTTAACAAAAAAAATACACGAATCAATACCAAGAAAAACAAAAACTTGTGAGTGTAACTTTTTTTTTTTCAACTCCAATTAAGTTGAACTCAACTGGTTCCTAAATACACCATTAGAAGACTAAAATCAAACTTGAGTTATGAGTAAATTGGTGATATCAGGTAAATAAATTGCTTAACCTGAATTTTTTTTTTGTTACAAGTTGTATGTTAATTGTAGTTGTTGAGATTACTTAGTTGGTTAGTTTGTTTGTTGTTAGTTACTGGTTCAATAAGCTCTATAAATGTATCACACTTACTGGTATCTTTTTTCATTAATCAATACAATGAGTTACTTTTATTAAAGTCCTCTCACATTTTGAGTCTAAGATTGTTTTCTTTTTCATCTCAACAAGTTGAGGTCACATATGTGTCTCCTCTCAAATCCAAGACATAGGGATGAAAATGGAAAAGGGGAAGAAATAAAGTAACCGAAATCTTGTTGGCCTTTAGAATGTGGAAAATTGTTAAGAATCCAACATGTAAAAGGAATGTTGATATCAATATTATTATCTTCAATCTACCTTAACAACTTCCAGATATAACATTTTTCATGTGTTTCTCCGAGGCAATCCCTTTATTTAGAATAGATTTATAAAATTAATCGTAAAATCTGTTATTATTTATTTGTTCATCTTCTGATTTAGTATTTGTGGGCACAGGCGGATCTAAAGCTCAGGGAAGCTTCTAGATCTCTGTATAGAGTAGGAGACAACTACTTAGAAATTAAAAGGGAAAAAAATAAATAGAGGAATGGATACTCTTTCAAATACTCTATTTATTATTAACTAGAAGTTATTGAAAATCACAAATTTTGTGAATATCTCTTGATTTAGTGATAGAACTTACCAAAATTTGTGATTTTCAACCAATGATTAAGAGTATTAACAAAAGTGTCAAAGAGAATGTGAGTCTTTTCAAAATATATGTCCTCCATCTGAAGAGCTAATGTGGTTACCTCTTCAAATTTGCATTTCACAAAAAGGGTATCTAAGTTATGTTATGGTAGTGCATTCAGAATAGGGACCTAAGCCCAGAACGAATTGAATTATAAGTGACCAATGGCCATAATTAGTACCAGATGTTTGAACATAGCTATTAAAGAGACAAGTTGCCTCTGCATTACAATGCAACACAAAGGAGTGAAAAAGAGATTGATCCAGACCTTTATGATTTTCCTGATAATGTCCATAAATGACTTGTTTTTGGTAAAATATGGATATTACTATATCTAAATTCTGATGCATGGTATATATCAGTATTCCAATGCATTTCACCTTCTAAATCAAAATAGACATGTTTTCGAACTTTTTCTTTTAAACTCCGTGTCTGTTTCTGCACGAATCCCACGAATCCCAGCAACCACTTGTTATGATTTTACATATTGATTGATGCATATATATAGCCATTTGCAACACCAAAGCAAATCACGAGTAAAACTTCATTACTTTTGTAATTGGCCATTAGTATTAGTTAATCATAGTTAATCATCACTAGATAACTAAGATTGATCTCAGTGACATGAAGGCACTCGTTTGTTACAACTTGATTCTTTGTAAGATGTAGTTTAGTTCACTTCCCATCAAGCGTTAACTTGACGATTGAAAAACGAAACAACATCATTATACACCAAGTCCTTGGCATTGAACCCCATAATGTAGTCAGCATGAGCATATTCCTGGATGAACTGAACACTACGCTTATCCTCATCATGGTTCTTGAGTATATCAAGCAAATTCTCAACATCACGAACATCTGAAAGTGCATCTCTGCCACCATAGCTAATGAAGAGAGGGAGGTCATGAGGGATATTGGAAAGGTTGTAGATTGGAGGGAATATTTCTCCATAATGCATGATGTTATAGTCTGGTCTCACATAATTAAATTTTGCCAACACCCCATGTCTCACAGCTGCAAAGTGCATGGTCATAACATTATAACATAAGCTTCCTTGGTTAGTGACAAAAGCAACTGAATTCACTACACAAGTAACGAGTTAAGTAGGTAGATGGGAAAATCTTACTCTGAGCCAAGTGCACCATGTTCTTTGTTGATGTTGACTGAGGCTCATTCATCAAGAATAGATCAACAGTTGAAGAATTAAGACAGCAATTTTTACCTGAATAGGAAATCACATTTCAATAATAGGCACAGTCAGAAAACTTTGATATTTTATTTTATAATTTAAATAGTTTAATTGAGCCAAAGACTTATACCAGTTAATGCCGTCAACAAGTTATAGCAGTCTATCCCAGGGTGATTGCAGAGAGACTTGAGAAAGGCTTCAACAGGTAACCTGTGCAATGCAGTACTTTAGAGAGCATTGAATTGTACTATATCACATGGTAAAACACTGTTTGACTCCCTGAAAATACATGTCGCTGATACTTTAGTTTCTGAAAGTGAGAAAATTAAAAAAAAAAAAAAAAAAAAGTCTTTAAAAGTTCTAGATTTTTCTTAAAGTATCTAAAAATAATCACTTATTGTCAATCTAGTCCATAAACATATGTTAATATTATCATTTAACTTGCATGATTTTTTAAATCTTGGAATACAGTGTGTACACTTTCAGCAGCAGCTTATTTTGAATTTTTATACTTTCAGAAATAATGTACCAGCGACATACACTTTCAAGGACTTAATGTGGAGACAGGTTCTTTTGTTAAATTGTGAGTTCTATGTTCTTACCCTTTTGGATTAAATTCAGCCAAACCAAAGAGGGTAGTGATCTGTTTGGCAAGAGAAAAAATATTTCCCTGGATCAGCAAATGCGTCTAACTTTGTATGTATTCATGAAGTACACACATGATTTGAGATTAAAAGTTAGTGTTATCATGTAAGACGTACCTCACCAATAAAGGACCTAGCTGCAATAACACCAAGTGCGGTGTGCATGTGGCTTAAATAGGCTATAGGGCTCAACAGGGCTGCTGATTTCAGCTGGTTAACCAATTTCCCTTCTGAGAAGGAAGCCAAAGCTATCAAAGTTCCCTGCCAAACATGGTCTTCCACTTTCAGAACTCAAATATAATTGGAATACAATAGGCATATTCAACTACACAGCTACTTCAAAACCTTAAAATATTAGGTTTATAAGTTTTCGTTTTACTATGTTATTCAACATATTATTTAACGTTACTTAAAATAAAAAGATGTAATTGTTGTGTTGTGATACCAGGGAATGGCCAACGTAATTGATCTTATGCCCCGTTTGGCTGAAGACATAATCAAACACAGCAGGGAGATCATAGGAAACAAGTTCATCCCAGGACCAATTCCAAAAGGCCTGTGACATTTACATAAAGAAGTGTTAATTTAGCATATGAAAATAAAATAAGCAAGAAACAAAACATAAGTGAAAATATGTACGAAAAAAGAGAAACCGGGCTAGAGGGGTCCAATGAGATGTGGCGTCGGCTATATCTTGTTCCTCTTGTGTTAGCAATCCAAACATCAAACCCATTATCAGCTAAAATCAAAGGCAGGTCTTGCTCTGGAGGGTTCAGAAGCCATGTCATACCATCCTGCATACACCCTCATATAATATCAGCAAAAGTAAAACACACATAGCACCACAACCAAAATTTATTTATTTCAGTATTTTTTTTCTTTATCTAACTAAGTAAGAGACTAATCTAATTCATAACATTCTTATTATCTTGAGGGTTTTTCACATAATAAATATCGACCATAAAATTTCTTACTAAATAAATCATTTTCATGTGTGAACAGAAGTGCATAACTACTGCATGAATTTATCTGATTAATTAACTAATTACCCTCTGAAACAGTGATTAACTTCAGTTGGATATCGTGAATACACACAACGTGATATTCACCTCTCATCGTAAATTATTTAACACAGAAAGCAAAGATTCAAACTCTAAACAAAGTTAAATATACACGTTGCTACCACTTACATTAATTAATAACTAACATTATGATAAAAATTATAATATGAAGAATAACATCTAAGTCTAAGAGTGCAGCTTCCACTTACTTTAGTGGGGACAATGTTCCTTAGTTCCTATGCTATATATTTTGGTAAAGAAGAAACAAAAGTTGTTAAACCGTGTGGCAGAGCTGCATAATCTGAGTCTGTGTCTGACACTCTCATTGCTCGAGACGGTGCATAGTTTTTTGGGGTTCTTAAAAGTGTACACGTGTCGCATAATGGAGGAAATGCCACTTTATAAATGGGTCCTTTGAACAAATTAACTTACAAGTTAAACAACACTTTTTTTCTGGTCAAGGCAGCACTTAACCAGAGGCATCATTTAACGTGTTTAAGCCACTTACACATTTGACATGCCACTCACGGCATTTAATTATTATTATTATTTAAATAAAAAGTTTTAATATTTTTGTAAAGTATGTATAATAATATGATAATATTATAAGAGAATATGGCGTTAGTCATTGTTACTAAGTGTGGGGCAAAACGTTAGGGAAAAAATAATGTATGGATGCACAAGCTTGTTACAACTATTTGTGAAATTTTTTTTTTTTTTAGTAATATTAAATCTTTTAAGGTTCTTATAATATTTTTTTTTTTGAAGTAAAAAGGTATCAGATCAAATAAATAAACATATTGAAAAATATTTACTATTTTTACTTTATAAGTAAGAAGAATAAAATTATATTCAAATTTATTATGGGTGTGTGTGGATTTTCTGTGGTTGAAAAAACAACCAAAGTTAGTGCATTTATGATGTAAATGCCGACACTCACTAGACGGTGTCTTTTTTGATACTGTATATACTTTATAATATGAAAAGAATAATAAATTAACTTTAAGGATTGGGATTTTCTTTCAATTAGAAAAAAGAAAAAAGGTAGAGAGGATATTTATGTTAATGCTACCATACACTGTTTCTTTAATTTGAAGGCACGATAATTATTTATGCGTGTATAACCACGAAAGTAACACAAAAGGAAAGTATGAAAAGAAACATGAAAGTCAAAATGAAACATGATGAACATCATAGGAAACATTTCTTAGAAAGACACATACTATGATGGAGATCATTAATGTTATTGCATATACTATGGCTGGACCACACTTATCAACATGGGTCAACGTTTATTGCGACGCTGATTAAGTTAAATCAACATAATATCTTGCATGATTTAACTAACTAAAGAGTAAAATTGTTTCTGTAGAATTTAATATTATTAAGCTGATTCATTCATTCAGTTGACAATAGGTACTAAGATAAGACTTAATGAGATACAAAACACCCTTTTCCTAAATCATCTGTTGTGATGATTGTTTCTGAAGTAGCTTTCGGTAGCTTAATTAAAACGTCATTTACTTAACAAAGCATAACATGTAATGCGTTAAATTACGAGACTTATGAGCATCACTTAATTTGTCACCTTTAACCAAAAACCTATTCTTACAATGTGACACACATAGAACTCCACCCTTTTTGACACCTTGTCATCGTCAAACACCAAGTCACGTTCACACTCCATCATCATTCCTCAATATATATATATATATAGATAGAGATAGAGATAGATAGAGAGAGAGAGGGAGGGGGGAGAAGGGACAAGGAAGAGGTGTTAAAATATATTTTATAGTATATATTTTTAAAATAAATATTTTCATTATAAATATAATATCATAATATCATATTATAAAAGTACTACTGATTAAATAAATTATTATTATTAATATATAATAACTTAACCTCAGGTGGCTTCACCATGACACATATCTATATACTTCATATACACTTCTTATATTTAATTACTTCTGGTAGAAAAGAGTTAACTGAAACCACCTTTTTTGTTAAAGACAAAAATAACGTTTCCCTCAAACCATTAAGATATTTCCAGGTGTAGATATTTGTGGTAGGTACGTTTGCTTGAAACATGGCAAAGAAGGAACACATATGAACAGTAAGCTGAAAACATTGTGACAAACCGTTTATCTTAACAGCGTAAACTATCAGCAAAAACACGTACATATATATATTTACTATACGTTAATGTTGATAATGTCTAAGCTTACATAACTTTAACCCAAATCAATATGATGACAGTAACGATAATTCAACACAGGATCATTTAACTGCACCGTAATCAACAATTTCAAGAACTTTTAGTGTTTAGATTCCTGTTGGGAAAAAATTTGTCCATTCAAAACTGAAATTCAAAGAAACTAGCTAGTAACCATATGAACAGTTTAATTTTATGTTATATATGTGAATGTGAGCAAGAAAAGGGTAATTATATTGAAAGATGGAAATGGGTGCATGCATTAATCATTGTGTTACCCACTTACCACAAGAACACCATGCTGTATGATCACTGGTTGCTTCCTAGTGCCACTGGCACCACCACCACCACCTCGACCTTCTGGGATCCTTTGCAGGCTCAGAATGTACCCATCATTGGTTGTAACCTGAAAAACATTTCAACACAACATGTCACTCTAACCTCAAAACATTTATTTTGTTAACTAACATGATTCATATGATTCATGTAGTATTATAAAGTTGACTACCAAAGATTTAATACGTGATTGATTAAACATTATTTTAATACTGTATGAATTAATCTTAGGAATATCAGGTCAACCATGTGTTTCTAAGAAGGTCTTACAACTAGTGAATATACATGTATATTTGGAGGTCTTACCTCATGTTCTTGGCACTTGTATCCATGCACGATGACAGAAGAGGCACATATGCCAAACGATGGAGGGATGACGATGTTTCTGCCTAAAGGAGCCACGGTTTGAAGCGTGTGCTTCATGAGGCAGGACCAAGAAAAGGGTCAAAGCAGAAAAACACGCTAAGCCTAGAAGAGCCATGTTGGTGATGAATGATGATCTATATCTATTGAAGGCGTGGGAACGAGGTTCTCATGTATTTGTTTGTGTGTGTATATATTGGATAGGATGTTGGAGAAGAAAGGTGAGGAAAAAGTGTATGAAACTGAAAAAGAGGGACACTAAAGGATGGGAAAACGAGTTAGTGTGATTCCCTATTTTCCTCTCCTTTTTTGCTTAAAGGGCTAATAAATTAACATATGTAGAAGAATTCTTGGCATAAAAGTATGTGGCTTTTTCACGTTGTGGGGCCACCCTAGTGTTGGAATCATCTTTCTTACTGGCAAGCGAAATGGGAATGGAAAAAGGGTTGCAATCAATTCAACAAATTGAGGCCATGATTTCTGATGCATATCGATCTTGTGTTCATTGATTGATGTTGTCTTCGGGTGCCAAGTCCTTGTTGATGAGGTAACTTTGGCAGTGTGGATTTTGGTGGGTGCTAGGTACTATAAACATATATATGATCATTTTATTGAACTCAGTAATGTTTCATTTGAATCAATGACATAATATGTATTTGGAATATAATCAGAAAGTTAAGTTGTTTTTTTTTATAAAAAAAAAAACACTTCTCTTGCTTTAAATTTAAGAGAGATTTGCTTGTAAAAGAACAGAAAAGATATTATCAAATAAATAAGTGTTACGTTCGAGATTTGTTAATTGAAATTACAAAATTCAAACGTGTAATTAAACATAATGCTATTATACGCTTTGAATGTAGCATGTGGGGATAGAAAAATATGCCAAATATGGATTGTGGGGCCACTTTTTATTTGGGTTGTTCTCTTTACGTTATGGGAAGAGGCTTGAATCTGTTATGCAATGCCATAACTTGGAAGAATAATAACAAAGAAAAAATGGGAAAGTGGATTGAATGAAATTTGAGAAGAAAAAAAAAAGAGATAAAAAGAAGTGGTAAGTGGGTACTGACTACCGAGAACATTGGTGCTTTCACTCTTACGGGGCTTTCTTCTTTTAGGTGTGAACAGGAGAAATTTTATTTTGGTGTTTCATCTGAAAAGAAAAAGTGTTGAATTAAAATTACTTCATAAGAATAGTTATTGGGGGTCAAATGTTCCAGTTGATATAATAATGCATTCATGGAAGTGGGTAAGAAGACATTTAATTAAAGCATTCAATTAATAAAGTAGTTCTTTTTCTTTTCTTTTCTTTTCCTTTTTATGGATAAGCAATCAGTGTATTGATTGCTGTTCTCTTCATAATATTGAGTTGAATTTGCTTATGAAAGGACTTACTTTGTCCTATTTAAAATCATGAAAACTGCAATGATCTTGGTATACGAAAAATTAAAAGTAAACCATTTTTTTTTCTTCATTTAATCGTTACAAACGAAAGAAACAAATTGAATTATGTAGGTTTAGTTCTTGGTCGATCAATTCAGTGCAAGTTTGCTTATACGTTTCAAAGGATTAGATTCGCATCAAATTGAAAGCTATTATATTCTCTTTAGCTTCTACGTTTTCTTTTATTTGAATGTGGAAACAGGGTGTTACGTGCGTTTTCAATGCCAGCCCAAACGCGTTTTTTATTCTAATAAAATCTCACTTATAGTAATAATAATAAAAATTATGATATTATTTTTTTTTTACAAGGAATTGCTATTTTAAAATGTATTTGGAGAAGAAACAAAATCCTATATTCAAACATATATGTTGTGACCCAACATACTTTATGAAAATGTGAACTAATTGTGGCTAAATTTATGAAAAAGAACTTGACTTGAGTATGAGACACGTAGACAGAAGCATATATTATGTTACCTAAAATGAATGTGAAAATTGGAAATGGTTGAAACGGATGAAGAGAGGGTAAAGAATTAAAGATAAAGAAACATGCAGAACTAGTCTTTGGTGTGAATCCGATTGGATTGAACTCATCCCATCACTCACTCCTATTATATGTACAAGTTCTAAGATAAATTATAACTGATGTAACTGAAGTGACAAAAGGAAACCAAATTAATTAGTCGTGTCAGATTTAGACATATCAACTAGTTAACTAACTGCATCAACTGATTACTACATCAAGTGCCATAGGTTTGGTTAGAATATCAGCAATTTGAGCAGTGGAGGAAACATGCAATAGATGCTGAAAATCAGCTTGAACTTGGTCCCTCACCATGTAACAGTGTAAATTAGAATTGGACTATTATTAACATGGTTTTAAATTGCGGTTGCGGTCGCGGTTGCAGTTATTGCGGTTGCGAGTATTGCGGGTATTGCATGCAGATTGTGTTGCGGTGTGAGATTATTAATTATTTTCACTAAATATAAAAAATTTATAATTATCAATATATATTTTATTTTTAAGGATTTATACATTTTAATTCCTTTTTTTTTTAATATTTTATTATTTTAATGAATAATTTAATTTATTTTAAAATTATAGTATCAATTTATCGTATTGCGGATGTATTGCGGTACATTGCAGATGTGTGGCGGACGCAACACCGTTACGTTACAGAAAAATGTGTGATTTTCAGTATCATCGCAATTGCAATCCGATACCGTTGTGGACAAGGCCCAACAGCAATATTGCGGCCGCAACACGTGTTGCGGTCCGCACTTTAAAACCATGATTATTAATAATGATGCAGTTGCAACACCAAAAAGACAAATCCTTGCAAACAGACTATCATTCTAAAATCGTTGTTACTATCCTATCACTGATCGACTCTTACATGTAACAAAATAATTATTTATCTATTCATCTAATTTATCCACAAATAAATTTATTTCATTTATTTATTACAGTATAAATAAATAGTAGATTAGATCTAATCTATCCATTTAATTTAATAAATTTATTTCATTTATTTATTATAGTATAAATAAATAGTAGATTAGATCTAATCTATCCATTTAATTTTATGGATAGATAATAATTCATCTACTACTCTTTTAAAATTTATTAGATTACAATATAATATGTATTAAATTAAAATTTTAAAAGACATTTTGACATAAAAAAGTCTAATGAATTTTAAAAGTTTATATAAGAATGTGATTATTTATAAATTAAAAAAAACAAAAAGAAACAAAACATTTCAAAAATACAAATTACTTAATTTTTAAAATATTACTTTTGAGTAAATTGAATATTCATCCATAAAAAAATTATTAATGGATGAATTTTTTCACTTTAAATAGATTGAATGAACTTTTTACTTTTAATAAGTTGAATAAATTAAATTTTTATGTGAATTTTAATAAATCTAAATAAGCTAATAAATTATTTTTTATCTTATTTTATAATCCATCTTAAAAATTATTTTATCCATTCATTTATCACCCCTTTCACAACCTCTCATCATTCACACTTAAAATGCAAGTTCAGACAGTTGATATCCCTAAATAATTGATTTTTATAATCACATATCTTTCACAAATGACAACTCTGTTTGAACCGAATTAAATGACAACTTTCTTTATAAATATTTAATAAAACTACGTATCTGGAACTCGAATTCAAAATCACAAGCTGATACAACTTCACGTTAATTGATCTACTACGTATTTGGTGGTTAAACAAATGAATGGAAAAATGCAAAATATTTGATATCACTATCATGATTCACGAATTTCCAGCTTCATTACATCACCTTAATCTGATATGAATTTAAGATTAAAAAATCCCACAAAAATTCATGCCTCTCTAAACTACCTGCCAAATGAAACACTCTTCCACGATTCATGTAGCAAACCACAATAAGCGACAATTAGCCTTAGACTTAATTCATTAAATCATAGTCATCTAACTTGTCATTGTACTGAAGCACTTTTCTCTTTATCTTGGATGAATCCACCCATGTAACAAAGTCTTCCATGTTTCTAGTTACAAGGTAAGCTGGGTCTGTAACTGTCTCTGGACCAACTCTTATATGCCCCTGTTCAATGTATGTGACAGCTTCTTTCAAGTGCTCCGCAAATTTTAGTCGCACCAAAACAGTTGAGAGCCTACGCCTGCATGATAGAGAAAATCGTCAATTTTAGGAACACATGAGGGCAACATAGTTCAAAGAGGTCAAACTAAGAAAATTTAGTATCATTAGAAGAAAGCTAATTATAATCAACCCAGTAAATTTCCCAGATTATCATGCAATTGATCATATATCTGGGGTCCTCAAGTAAAATTATTTATTGAACTCCATTTGAAACATATAATTTGTTTTCTCTTTCTCTTGATATATTTTTCATTTGAAATGTGAAAATAAAATTAATTACTCAATTTTCATTTAAAACAATAATCTCAGAAAAATGTTATTTTTACCTACAGAAGGATGACACAGTTAAGCGTTCACATAGTGTGATGCTTTGCCTGGTTGGAATCACACCCATGTTGTAGCTGTCATCCAAAAAGAAGAAAAAGATATGTAAGAAAATAATAGCTCATAACATAACATTTAATTTTCTCCTTCAAACATTTCATACCAACTTGAAAGTTATATAGCAAACCTATCATCATCGTCATCGATAGAAAACCAAAAGCACCAGAGAGTCATTGCAATTAGTTCACCCATTTTTATTATATTTTGATGGGAATCGATATCTAAGTGGATTAAGATGGATCCATTTGATGGATCGGAGGCAGTTATTATTAGGAGTATGATAGTATGTTAGTATGTTATATAAAATAACTTGTATAAGTAAATCTGCATTAGAAATTACACGATGGCAGCTATATATTTGAATTCCATCTAATAGTAGGCGTGTAATTTGGCAAGTTTGTAAATTGTAGGCAGAGAATACTCTCTCTAGGAGACTTTCGTCTCTAAGATGTCAAGTGTATTGCTGTATTATGTATGATTTCTAAATTCAGTATTGTATTTTATTAGTTTATCAATTGATGTTCTATCATATTTTGTTTGATCATGTATATGTATAATGTACTACTTATAGCAGATATGGTTAACTAAATACATCCATCAATTTATTGTATTTATATATAAATTTGCGACTTCATTTGTAATTGAATTTAGATAAACCAATTTCATAACAACTACACCGATCTAGTCCAAATGAAATAGCTAAAGCACAAGTAGATTTGAGGAGTCTCAGAGCAACATTGAAGTATAAATTGTTTCAAAGGAATAATAAAAAATGCAAACATTAAATATAAGAATTAAGAGCTAATATGATTACAAAACAGGAAATTCACTACTAATAATGAATAAAGATCATTTCTCAGGTCATATGCTTAAACTTTGAACTCCAATAAAACTATATGTATAAATGGGGTCAATAATATGTTTAAAAGTTCACATGAAATGAGAGCGAGTAAAAATGAACTTACAGCTTTTCCAAAAGCTTATCAGTCATATCAATCCGAAAAGGATCCTTTGGGTCCATCTGTTTCAATATGTTTACTAACTTCTGAACCATGTGGCATAAACTTGAATATCTATTCATATTTCCAACACCCCAGAGGCAAAAACATAAAACATGTCAGCTAAACTCTAATCTCAAATAAAGGAAATTACATAGGGTCAGAAAAATATATATCATGAATTATGCATAATACTTTTTGTAATCATCCCGTCCAGTAATATGGTAGCGTTGCATAACCAGGTTCTCTCTGTGACCCCCTTCTCTCTTCCATTCCAAAAAATTTACCTTCTTCAAAAGCTTCTTTTCATGAAACTTTAGTTTCCTCATTGTTTTTCACTGTCATCAGATCAGAATACACACAACTAAATAATCAGTTTATTAAAGGTAGAAGAATGTTCTGGTTCATCTATCAGCTAGTCAATGCATATATAAGGTTCAGAAAACACCGTTACTTTGCCAAATTCAACAGCCCCATAAATTGCTCTATCAAGTTCAAAACTTTTGTTCAACCAGCCACTAGTTTAATGAGACACATATGTGGGACATCTTAACCCACTTCCCAACACCAAGGACTAGACATCTAATATGCAAAGTTTGCTAGACTGGAAACCTACTAGAGTCTTAACATGAAGACTAGATAATCTCTAATCATATTAGAAACAAACTGGGCTAACTCACTCTCGAAAGCTAGCTAAATGGAGGAGGAATGCCTGTCTTATAAAGAGTACTCTGGCCATATTCCTAATCAATGAGGGACTTCTTCACAATATTTTTTTTTTTAAATGGTACAATTACAGAACAACCAACAACATACTCTAGCTAAAGCATGCCACACAGTCTTACTTACCCAACCCTGAAGTAGTAAGTGTAGTTTAGACGAAGAAAATCCAGTGACATATGGTGTTAAACATTTTAGATAAAAACAGGTGCTACTAATAAACAACCCATTCAAACTGTGAGACACAACATGATCGCTTCTTACTGTCCAGCTAAATTCCTTAATAAGTTGAGAAACTACGAAAGTTGTAAACTTCAAATCGGGTACAGTTTAATCTCAATCTCACACACAATCAAATTCATTAATAAGCAAAATGATAGGTATTGGCAGATGGTAGTGTCCTAAAACTGATAATTAATGACTATTATGCGATTGTAGAGCGATGCTTCCACTAACCAAGCAATCCTTGAATAACATTATTTTAATGTTGATAAGAACTGATTATGGAAATACCAGTTCAATCTCCGTGTCCCAAGATAGGCATTACAATAACTGGGCCAAAAGATTTGGTTAAAGATTAAATAATTTATACTTCCTAGTAGTATATATAAATATAAGTGCAAAGAAAAAAAAAATTACTCAAAATTCATGACATATTCATAATCAACACAGAAAACAAAAAAAAGTCATTTGAGGGGTTTGATGATTAAGAGTCCGAGGAGCATTAAAATCCACCATTGCTAGCATATAGAATATAGAGATACAAATATGAATACTCAAACTGTGACGCAAAACGAAATGAATTTGAAAAACAAAAATACCGAGTGATTCGAAGCGAAAGGAGATGGTTGCGAACGTTTGTTTGCAGTGAGCCCTTTGCTGGGGTTTGGCCGTTTAGGTTCGAGGTTTAGACGAGGCAAGCACCTTTTTTATTCCATTACAATAAAACGACATCGTTTTTGCCTTTTATTTTTTAAAATTGTTGTTTGACCTGACATGTCCATTTAGACTTTGGTTGGAAAATAGTCAGAAAAAAAAATAAATAAAATGCAAGGAAAGGAAAAAAAAAAAGTTATTTAAATGTAGAGAATAAAAGAAAAATGAAAAAAATAAAAAAGTCATTTATGTAGAGAAAAGATAATCACTAATATCAAAAATTATATTTTTTGTAGTAAAAAAATAACTCTAATCAAATGAAGCATAATAAGTACTATTATTTCATTAAGTTTATGGTTTAATTTGGAGCATTTATATCAATTTTCAATAGCTTGAGATCTTGTTTTGAACTCAAAACATATCTAAATTATTAAGTGATCACATTTTGTCTTTGAATTATGTTTTTTTTTGTGACTTACAAGCATTTGGTTACAATTTTGTAGTTTAGGAGAAAGTTAGAAAATATGGAAGGAAGCAAAGGACAAAGTGGTGAGTTCAAAGCAAAAAGAATTTTTGCTTAAGTCTCTATGCTAAGCCTCAGATCCCACGCTTAACCACAGTTGAGCAGAGAGTCAAGGAAACAATTTCAATCTTCCTACTAAGCGTGGAAACTGGCATTGAGCGTCAATGTTCCAGAAAGTCATTCCATTCCAGACCAATCCCTCACACTTAGCGTGGCATCTCACACTTAGCATAAATTGTGCTGACAGGTCATTACTCATATAAGACAAAAAAAATTTATGACCTAAAAGAGGGAATTTCGAGGAGTGAGAGAGAAAATCTTTCTGGGAGTCTGTGTGGCGACTAGAGAGCTTTGGAACCTTCAAGATCAAGTTTCTTCCCTTCTTCATCATTTTGTAGAGTTCTACATGTCTATGTGTAGCTAATCTCACCCTTGTTGGGGTTTGATGTAACTAAAACCATTCTCATGTATAAACTCTAAGTGATCAATCTCAATTGTTATTCAGTTTTATTGCTCTATTTCTTGTGCATAATGCTTATTATGGTTTGATCTCCCTTAACTTGAATTTGAGGTTTTTAAGAGATTGGAAAATACTTTTGAACCTTTGAATGGAAATAGAGCAACTACTGGTGCTTATATCTAGGAATAAAGTAAATGCCATTAATCTTTCTTAAGCTTTGGTTTTGAAAGTTGGTTTCTTGGTTAAACTATGCAAGGAATTGATAGGTTAACCTAGCAACTTAGATGCCAACTTGAAAGGGATTATGGTTGGTTATTTTTTAGAGTGATTGATAAATTTTGAATGATAACTATTGTGAGCTCATGGATAAACATGAGAGGAAGGTTTAGTGAAGTCAAACCCCAACATTTGTTAATATTGTTTTAGAATCAAGTTTTTCACCCTAAGTGTTTATAAAAATACCAAAAAGGATTCTTATAACATTTACATTATTTGCTTACATTATTTACTGCAACAAATCAAATTTGTATTGCTTTTTGGTAACTTAATTAGTATAACGAGTGATTTTGTAAAGTGTTGCGTAAGTCCCTTGGGAGACAATACTCATACTTTCATTAAATTATTTATACGATTTGGTACACTTGCCAAAGAAGATAACAAGTTTCTGGCATCGTTGTCGAGGACTTGCGTCTCAATACTTAGGCAAAGTCACTTGGATTACTAATCTAGGCTTTAATTCTTTTACTTTTTGCATTTGTTATATTCCTTTTCTTGTAATTCATTGTATCCGTGTTGTTGACTATTTACTATAGTCTTGTGATTTTGGTTTATGTGAGGTACCGTTCCCACTAGTGACTTAGCTTACAATCTGGAAATTAAGAAAATAGCTAGGAGGAACAAGGGAGTAGTAAGAAAACAATGATTACTAGCCAAGCAGGCACAACACAAAGAGTACTTCATCCTTTCTCGATCCTTCTTCACCCTCAATCTTAGAGGGAATAGAAATAGTAGAGGAAAAACCAAGAATTACCCTTGGTGATCATGCAGCTGCTACTGGTACTACTCATTTTTCTAGCATTGCCATACTTGGAATCACTACCACTAATTTTGAGAAGAAGCCAACACTGTTGAATTTGATTCAGAATAATCAATTTGTGGGACTTGATCATGAGGACCTATATATGCATCTCCATACTTTTATTGAGCTTTGTGGCATAGTAAAGATACATTAGGTTCCAAAAGATGTGATTCAGATGAAGTTGTTTCCTTTCTTATTGCTTGGGAAAGCTAAGATGTGGCTCAATGCTCCCTCACATCCAAGCTTGACCAAGTGGTCTGACATTGAGACAAAGTTCTTGGCAAGATTCTTCCCTCTTACTAAGATCAATCAAGCAAAAAGTGAGATTGTTACATTCTCTCAGAATCAACAAGAACTTCTTTCTGAGGCTTAGGAAAGATACAAATCCTTGTTGAGGAGATGTCCAAGTCATGGATTTGATGACCTTACTCAGGTTAACATTTTTCTGGGTGGATTGTTGCCACGGGTGAAAATTCTATTAGATGCCTCAATTGGAGGTAGCATGGATTTTAAAACACCAGAGGAGGCTATAGAGTTAATTGATGCTATGACAACAAATGATTATGATTTACCAGTTGAAAGGGAATCAAGATAGAAAAAGAGAAATTCTAGAGTTGGGATCTCAAATATGCTTTATTAGCTCAAAAAAGCTCTTGTCCCAACAAATTGAGGCTTTTACCAAGTAGGTTGCTCGGATTCCACAACAACTACAATCCACTCAACATCAAGTTCTAAGTTGTGATCTTTGTGGGTTGAATCATCCTCACGGGCAGTGCATTGACACCTTCCCATCTCATGGAGAAGAGGTGAATTACATGGAGAATCAAGCTCGACAAGGAGGAAATTATTGTGGGAATTATGGGAAGAATTGGCAATCACACCCTAGCACTAGGTGGAACCAGAATGATACTGCCTAGTCTAGTAGACCTCCTATGCAAAGGCCCAACTTGTATGAATGGCAGTCTAAGTTAGAAGAAACGTTGACCTAGTTCATGCAAGTCTCAATTTCTAACCATAAGAGTACTAAAGCATCTATAAAAAAATCTTGAGGTTCAAGTGGGGCAGCTAGCAAAATAGCTGGCAGAAAGTTCTAGTGGGAGTTTTTCAACTAACACTCACATTAATCCAAATGAGAACTGTAGTGCAATTACAACAAGGGATGGCAAGAGAGTGGTTATTCTTGATGATGATGAAAAGCAACAAGAAAAAGAGGCAAAAATGAGAAAGGGAAGTGGAGAGAATAATGAAAAAAAATAGAAAACGAAAATGAAAATGTCATAGAGGGAGAAGAGTTGGTTGAGGAAGCTATTGTTGAAAAATCAAAAAGTTAGCTAGTAAAAGAATTGAAGATGAAATCCAAGGTGTCTAGTACCAAGGATATGCCATATCCCCAAGTCTCAAGTATGAAGGATAAAGAGAAGTAATTTGTATGCTTCATAGAGCTTTTTAAAAAGCCTCAGATCAACATTCCTTTCTCAGAGGCATTGGGGCAGATGCCCACTTATGCAAAATTCATGAAAGTGCTCTTGACCAAGAAGACAAAGTTCATTGAGCAAGAGATCATTCAGTTGGAAGTGGGGTGTAGTGCCTTAATTCAAAAGAACTTACCTCCCAAATTCAAAGACCCTAGAAGCTTTACAATCCCAATCACTATTGGGAACCTGTCAGTTAGAAGAGCACTGCTAGACTTGGGTGCAAGCATTAACCTCATGCCCTTATATATGTTGGATAGAGTTGGAAAGGTGGAAGTAAAACCGACCCGCATTACTTTGCAGCTAGCCGACCGGTCTATCAAGTACCCCTATGGTGTTATTGAAAACATGCTAGTTAAAGTTGACATATTCATATTTCCAGCTGATTTTGTGATTATGGACATGGAAGAGGACATTACTGTTCCTATTATCTTGGGGAGGCCATTTATGAAGACTGCACAAGTAATCATTGATGAGGGGATGGTGAATTTAAATTGAGGGTCCAAGATAAGGTGACCACTTTCAATGTATTTGAAGCCATGACCCATCCAAATGATAAGGGTGCTTGTTTCTAAATGGATATGCTGGATGAGGTAGTGCTTGAGGCTACAAAGAAGCTAAAAAAATCATCCTCTCTTGAATATGTGTTGATAGGTGCTATGGATGAACTCAATGAGGATGATGTAACTAAGATGGCTAAATGCTTGAAGTATCTAAATACTTTCAAGGAGATTCCACCTAGTGACATGAATCATGAAGAGTTAAAATGTGATAGCACAATAGTGAAGACTATATTGGAGCTGAAAATACTTCTAATTCACCTCAAATATGTCTTTTTGGAGCCAAATGGTAAAAAACCAATCATCATTGGTAGCTCCCTATCTTAGATGGAGGAAGAAAAACTTATTAAAGTCTTGTAGGTACATAAGGAAGCTATAGAGTGGTCTATTTCTGACCTTAAAGGTATCATCCCAACCTATTGTATGCATAAAATAAACATGGAGGGTGACTACAGACCAATAGCTCAGCCTCAAAGAAGACTAAATCCCATTATAAAGGAGGAGGTGAGAAAAGAGGTTCTAAAGCTCTTAGAAGTTGGCATGATATATCCAATTTCGGACAATGAATGGGTGAGCCACGTACAAGTCGTTCCAAAGAAGGGAGGAATGATTGTGATTACCAATGAGAAAAATAAGTTGATCCCGACTAGAATACTAACAGGTTAGAGAATTTGCATAGACTACTAGAAGTTAAATCAAGCCACAAGGAAGGATCATTTTGCTCTTCCTTTTATGGATCAAATGTTAGAGCGAGTGGCTGATCGAGCTTACTACTATTTCTTGGATGGATACTTAGGGTACAACCAAATTGCGATTAACTTAGAGGATCAAGAAAAGACTACCTTCATATGTCCATTTGGGGTGTTTGCTTACAAAAGAATGCCCTTTAATCTTTGCAATGCACTGGCTACCTTCTAGAGATGCATGCTTGCAATTTTTGTTGATTTGGTTGAGAAATGTATTTAGATCTTCATGGATGACTTCTCTATTTTTAGGGCTTCATATGATCTATGTTTGGAGAATCTTGAGCTAGTTTTGAAAAGGTGCATTGAGACCAATTTAGTTCTGAATTGGGAGAAGTGTCATTTCATGGTTAAGAAGGCATTGTTCTTGGCAATAAAATTTTAGCCAGAGGAATAGAAATGGACAAGGCCAAGATTGATGTGATAGAGAAGTTGGCTCGCCCAATTAATGTCAAGGGTGTTCATAGCTTCCTTGGGCATGCCAGTTTTTATAGGAGGTTCATCAAGGACTTTTTTAAGATTTCCAAACCATTGTGCACCTTACTAAACAAGGACCAACCCTTTCTTTTTGATGAAGAGTCTATGAAGGAAATGGATCTTTCTTTCTTTCTCTCTCTCTCTCTCTCTCTCTTTACACACACACACACACACACACACACACACACACACAAAGACCAACATTTCACCACACAATCACATGTACAGGTAGATAATGTTGATATCCTATCAACCATTCAATGTTATATGGTGGATAAGATGTATTATTGACACCTTCAGCGTTATCTAGATAATTTCTTTGAACTTTTTTAGTATATGTTATGTTATGTTATGAATTTTTGTTTTCAGTCTCTGAACCATATTTCTGTCTTTGAATTTATGATATGTTATGAATTTTTATTTTCAATTTTTGAATCACATTGCGGCATTTTGTTGAACGTACGTATGTGGTTGGCGTTTTGGAACGACCCGTTCTGAATCCAGAACGGCACGTTCTAAAACCAGAACGGCCCGTTCCAAATTCAAAATTAACATACAATATGTGCAACCAGAATGGATCGTTCTAGTTTCAAAACGGGTCGTTCTAGTTCCAGATGCATTAAATAAATTTGGCATTCACCTATGCATCTACGTGACATCTACGTGACCAACAGATAACTCCGTTTAAATAATTTGGATGGAAGTCTGACATTGCAACAATTTAGTTTATTAGGAATTAAATTGAAACTAAAAAACCAAATTAGATTTTTAGCCCATAAATATTCAACAACTAATTGATAAACCTTTCCTTTTATAAAACGAACACGAATTAAACGTGAGAATACTTTGCCTCTAAAAAGAAAAACACATATTTTCAATCAATGAGTTGTAGTTGGTCGAAAATGGCACGCCCTGAATCACTTAAGCTTCAATAGACCTGCCTTTGTGGACACAATGCGTTGACAATAAAAATATTCCTATTGCGTAAGAAAAATCATACAAATACATAAATAACTATAACCCACACATGCAGTCCAATCTTTTTTGGACCGTCTAGTCATGAAGATTATCACATTAAAAGAAATAATAATATAATAATATTAAAAATATAATAAATAATAAAATATTTGTTTCCTGAGTCGCATAACTCTAAAGCATATTCTACAACGTCTTCACTCACTCTGATACCAGAAACAGCGTGCGTGCGATGCCGGAAGAAACGACGTCGATCGACTACGTGATGGAGGCCGCATCTGGGCCGCACTTTTCGGGCCTGAGACTGGACGGCCTGCTACCCTCCTCCCCCACTTCCGATTCAACCCTAACCTCCGATTCTCTCCCCAATCAACCCTTCGTCATAGGTCACAAAACATTCATATTCATAAAATATTCTCTTCTTTCAATTTTTCAATTCTCGCGTTAAACCAATGCGATCAACTTGCAGGAGTCTCCGGCGGTACCGCCTCCGGGAAAACCACCGTCTGCGACATGATCATTCAGCAGCTTCACGATCATCAACATTATCTACCTGTACATGTGATTGTGTGGTGAAATGTTGGTCTTGTGTATCCTATTTCTTTACTTCAGGTTGTACCTCCTCAAGAACAGGTTGTTGTTGTTGGGGTACATCGGTCAATGACTTCAAGGGGAAACACCATGTCGTTTCATCCTTAACTGTATAGTGTCAATTTGGTAGTAAGTGGTTCACTCCAGTTTGACTAACAATGAAATAAAACTTGCTACCATTGTCCTTAGTGATACACTACATTGTCTTTAATGATACACTGTATAGCCCAAATGTTTAGCAATTGAAGTTATTAATCCCCATTGACAATATTACCAAATCCAGTGTTTGAAATGCTTTGTACCTTGGGTCTTTTTCCTTGCACGATTCACAACCGTGAACTATAATCATCGACTGTTTGTGTTTGACATTCTGGAACCAGAACAACCCGTTCTAAAACCAGAACGGCCCGTTCTGGTTCCAGATGCATTAAAGTACTTATATATATTAATTAACTTAATACTAAAACCACCCGTATTTTAAAAGTCTTCAAATAGTGGTAGTAAAAATAATAATCCTTCTAAACTCATTACTCATAGTTAGACTCAAATTTTCATATGGTTATATAGATTTTAAAAAAATAGAGACATTAATCGTACGAACCAGGGACTTCACAAGTTGGCTCGCGGACGTGAGCCTATATGCCCACTCCTATATACTTGTTTACTATATTTGAACTAAGGCACCCATAACAACCATGAATCCACATTTCAAGTGGTTCATAGTGGACCAACACACTAGCAACTACGATATATGCTACAATAAAAATATTATTATTTTAATCAATTAATTATTTTCAAAATATAAAATAATAACTAAGTTATTATGATGTGTAAATATTATTTAATATACTAATAAAAAATTTATTTTGCAATTCTAAAATAATAAATAACCGTTTATAATAAAAAAAAATATTATTTATTATTTTATTAATTAACTGATTAATGTAGGTTCACGGCGGCCAATACCTTGAACTAATTGTTAACTTGATGGAAATACCAAATAATTGAGTCATTAATTAGGCAAAATCTACATCAACCCATTGGAAATGTGATTCACATGTCAACAATCAAAATAAAAATGTGTATTGTATGTGGTTCATGGATGGTCTAATATTTTCAAGCCCTCAAATGTTTAAATTTACAATTGGACTAATGATATTATTTTTTAATAATATTATAATATTTTTTTCTCACTTTATTGATGCACTCATCATCAAATATTTTTATATGGCTCTACTAAATAAGAAAACTTAATCATTTTTTTTGTGAAAAAATTGAAAGACACATTAAGCTATTTTATACAAAACAAAATTTGTATGAATATCTATAGAAAACATTGAAAATTTCATTGTTTTTTCTTTTTCAATAAATTTTAAAAAATAATTATATTTTTTCCAAAATCACAACATAGTTGAAAGAAGAAATTGCTAGCGAAATCACAAATAGCATACAAAAAATTTAAGTAAAAAATTCACAAGTATAAATTTTCTTATATAACAAAAATATAAAATTTTCTATTTATTTTACAATGTATCTTTACTAGTTATACTTTAAGCACCATCATTCTACCATTAGAACTTTGTTACCATCAATCTCTTTGTACGTGACAAACCAATTTTTGTTAGGTGTCATATGAAAGGTACATGTTAACTAAAAAAATATAGTCCTTACTTACATTATATGAGACAAAGAGAACATTTTCACGGTCCGATTCTTTTGAGGCCACAAAGCTGCACCAACATACTCTAAAGTACTTATTATATCTTTCTTGAGCTTTGGACAATTTCTCTTCTTGTGCCCTTCTCTTGACAATTATAACATCTATTATTTTTCTTATTTTTGTTGTGTGATTTTGATCCCTTCCTTTAGAAACTCTTATTCCTTTTCTCTGTTCTTCCTCTTACCATTAGGCCTTCACTAAAGCTGGTATTATTATATGAATTAATAATATGCCTTTTTAATTCTCAAGATTATAAGATTATTTTAACTTCCTTCATTGATAGTGAACTTCTATCGAAAGATATTGTGTCTACAAAATTTTCATAAGTTTTAGGCAAAGAGCTAAGGAGAAGAACAACTTGGTCCTCGTCATCAATGACAACATCAATATTTTTTAAACTAATAACAACTTGGTTGAAATTATCAATATCTTTGTGAATGGACCCATCTTCATGCATTTACATGATACATAATTGTTTCTTCAAGTAGAAACGATTATGAAGAGACTTTGTCATATATTGACTTTCAAGCTTGTCAATAGTTTTTTTTCTCTCGAGACTTCTCCCAAAACTTCATCATTAGTGATAACAATACTATGCTATGTAACTTTTTAAGTATCACATTCTTTTGTACAAATGTAAGATTAACTGACAACTTTGCTTCTCCTTCCAATGCCAACTCATTCTTTTTGTGTGAGGATAACATCTTCACCCACCACATGTTGAAGTTATTTTTTCCAGTAAATTTCTCAATGTCAAGCTTCACAGATGCCATAACTTTAATACCAATTTGTTATGGAAAATCATATTTGACATAGAAATATAATTATATAAAAGATAGTTGGCACTAAGAAAAATCTCAATTATTTAGAAACTAACATAATTACAAAGAAGAATTCTCAACAAATCCTTTATCTCTCACAATACTCTTTAAAGATTAAATTCTTTAGCTTACACTCCTTTACTTGAATGAATTGTTACAATTTTATGCACTTATTTATATTAGAATACAAGCAACACAAACTTTCCATTATGCATTGTTAATATCAACTAAACCATTAAATCAATGAATGAATTATAACTATTTACCAAATATGGAAATCATATTCAAGCTATACATAACAAATCACATTTGACGTATTTAACAAATCATATTCAACTTTACCATAAAAAATGTCACTTGGCATTAGAAGTGGGTTAAGTAACACATGAAAGATGAAAGTTATATGACGTATGAAATTCAAACCAAGGTACAAATTTATTACTTATGACTGGCATATGAATTCCATATTTAGTAAATAGTTATAATTCATTCATTGATTTAATGGTTTAGTTGATAATAACCATTCATAATAGAAGGTTTGTGTTGTTTATATTCCAATATAAATAAGTCCATAAGATTGTAACAATTTATTCAAGGAGAAAAGTGAAAACAATAGGATTTAATCCTTAGAAAGTATTGTGAGTGATAAATAATTCATTGATAATTCTTCTTTAAAATTTTGTTATTTTCTCAATAATAGATATTCTTCTTAGTGCCAACTATTTTTCTAATAGTCATATTTCTACATCACATGTGATTTCCCCTTAACAAACTAATATCACAACTATGTCATCTACGAAGTTTAGTGTTGAGAAATTTATTGACAAAAGTAACTTCAATATGTGGTAAGTGAAGATATTCGCTCTCCTCATACAACAAGAATGTGAGTTCGGATTAGAAGGAGAAATAAAGTTGCTAGTTAATCTTACATCTATACAAAAGAATGTGATAATGAAAAAGAGGCGTAGCATAATATTCTTATCACTAAGTGATGAAGTTTTGGGAGAAGTCTCAAGAGAAAAGACTCTTGACAAGCTTTGAGCAAAGCTTGAATGTCGATGTATGACAAAATCTCCCCATAATCGTCTATGCTTGAAGAAACAATTATATATAATGCAAATGTGTGAAAGTGAGTCCATTCATAAACATATTGATAATTTCAACTAAGTTGTTCTTAGTTTAAAAAATATTGATGTTGATGACGAGGACCAAGTTGTTCTTCTCCTTAGTTTTTTGCCAAGTGCTTACGAAAATTTTATAGAAACAATAATTTTTAGTAGAAGTCCATTATTGATGGAATAAGTTAAAACAACCTTACAATCTTGGAATTGAAAAGGCGTATTACTAATTCATATAGTTGTACCAACTCATATAGTTGTACCAACTCATGTGAAGGTGTAATGGTAAGGGGAAGAACAAAGGAAAGGAAGAAGAGTTTCCAGAGGAGGTAATCAAAATCATGCAACAAAAATAAGAACAATAATAAATGTCATAATTGTCAAAGAGAAAGGCACTGAAAGAGAAATTGTCCAAAGTTCAAGAAAGATAGAGCAAGTACTTCTAAGTATGGTGGAACAATTTTGACCTTGAAAGAATCAGATAATGGAAGTGTTCTCTTTGCCTCATCAATATAAATGATGATGACTATATTCTTGATTGACATGTACCTTTCACATGATGCCTAACAAAGATTGGTTTGTCATGTACAAAGGGATTGATGGTGACAAAGTTCTAATGGGGAACAATGGTGGTTTAAGTAAATGTATAGTTCAAATTAATATGGTTACTAGTATTGTAAGAACATTAATTGATGTGAGGTATGTGCCTGAACTCTAAAAAAAATTAATCGCTTTGAACACTTTAGACTCTCTTGGTTATTTATATCAAGTTGAAGGAGGGGTCTTAAGAGTTTGTAGAGGTGCCACAATAGTTATGAAAATAAAGTTGAAAAATGGACTATATATCTTGCAAGACAACATAATGGTAGGTGCAATCATGGTTTCTTCTATTTTAGATATTGATGAGACTCATTTATGGCATATGAGGTTAGGCCATATAAGTGAGTGTGGAATGGGTGAGCTTAACAAGAAAGGCTTTCTTGGTGGACAAAGAATTAGGAAGCTAGATTTTTGTGAGCATTGTATTAATGGAAAACAATGTAGAGTAAAATTTAGCACCGAAGTTCATAGAATGCGAGGGACTCTTGATTATATCTATTTAGACCTATGGGTCCGTCAAGTGTTCCTTCTCATGGTGGAGCAAAATACATGTTAACTTTTATTGACGATTATTCACAAAAAGTTTGGATTTAGGTCTTGAAACAAAAGATTGATGTATTACTCAAGTTCAAATAATGGAAATCTCTAATGGAGAAGTAGATGGAAAAAAAGGTCAAATAACTCAAGACAGATAATGGGTTAGAAATTCGCAATGGGAAGTTCAACGAGTTTTACGAAAATAAAGGAATAACTCGCTATAGAACTGTGATACACATACCACAACAAAATGGCATAGCAAAACAAATGAACATGACATTGTTTGCGAGAACTTGTTGCTTGCTCTCCAATTTAGGTTTGCCTAAGTAGTTTTTGATTAAGGAAGTTAATACTACATGTTATTTGATGAACAAGCCTCCTTCAACAACTATTGAATATAAGACTCCAAATAAAATGTGGTAAGGCTTTACAACAAATTATTCAATTTTGAATGTATTCAAGTCTCTAACTTATGTTCATGTTAATCATGGGAATTTTGAATCAAGAGTTAAAAAATGCATATTTTTCCAGTTATCAAGATGGTGTAAAAGGGTACAAATTGTGGGACGCTAAAAAATCAAAATAAACGATTAATAGAAATGTGACTTTTGATGAGACAACCATGTTTAACTCAAGACCATATGAGGACCATCATAAAAAAGTTAAATTTCATGGTGCTAGCAAAATGGTGGTGCTCAAAACTAAAGCTCTTAAACAAAAATCAGAGGAGACATAAGATGAAGTCACAATAATAAAGTCTAAGTATATTTGGCTAGAGATAGGCCAAGAAGACAAACTACACCACCTCAAAAAGGTATGAGATATTGTTTTCTTTGCACTTAGTATGGTAGAAAACACTAATGAGCAAGAACATAGCTCATTCCGTGAGGCAATTAATTGTGATGAAGCATTACAATTGATTGGTTCCATGAAAGAAGAGCTTGAATCCCTCCCCAAGAATCAAACTTGGGAGTTTGTTGAGAAACCAATTGATCAAAAGATTATGGGTTTCAAGTGGATATTTAAGAAGAAAGTTGGAATCAGGTTCAAAACAAGGCTTGTTACAAAAGTATTTAAACAAAGAGAAGGTTTTGACTTTAATGAAGATTTTCCCCTTATTATCAACATAGTACTATTCGAATGTTTCTTGCCTTGGTGTCTATACATGACTTGGAGCTAGAGCAGTTAGATGCGAAAACAACCTTTCTCTATGGTGATTTGGAGGAAAAGATCTATATGCAACAAGTGGGAGGGTTTGTCATACTAGGAATAGAAAATCATGTGTGTTTGTTGAAGAAGTCGTTATATGGGTAGAAGCAGTCACCCAACCAATGATATAAACGATTGATTTGTTTATGATTGATATTTGGGTATACAAGAAACAAGTATGATAGTTGTGTTTATATAAGAAATTGTTTGACAACTCTTATATATACTTGTTTCTTTATGTTGATGACATACTAATTGCATTTAAGTATCAAATTGAGATTAAAAAGGTGAAAGCACAATTAAGTGGTGAATTTGAGGTGAAGGATTTGGGTTTGACAAGGAGAATTCTTGGTACGGAGATCATACGAGATCGAAAAGCTGGAAGATTATGTTATTCTCAAAAGAGTTATAATACGAAAGTTCTAGACAAATTTGGAATGCTGAATGCAAAAAAATAGTTAGTAAACCTTTTGCGACTCGTTTTAAGTTATTTATAAAAAAGTCACCACAAACAAAAGAAGAGGAGGAGGAGTTCATGTCTCGAGTGCCTTACTTTAATGCAGTCAAAAGTTTAATGAATGCCATGAAGAGATCATACGAGATTTGGAATGCTAAATGCAAAAACAGTTGGTACTTCTTTTGCACCTCATTTTTTGTAGATAGTTTAATGAATGCCATGAAGAGATCATACGAGATTTGGAATGCTAAATGCAAAAACAGTTGGTACTTCTTTTGCACCTCATTTTTTGTAGATAGTTTAATGAATGCCATGAAGAGATCATACGAGATTTGGAATGCTAAATGCAAAAACAGTTGGTACATCTTTTGCAGCTCATTTTAAGTAATTTATAAAAATGTCATCACAAACAAAAGAGGAGAAGGAGTTCATGACTCGAGTGTCTTAATCTAATGTAGTTGGAAGTCTAATGTATGCATTAAAGTAAGGCACAGTTAAGTGGTGAATTTGAGATGAAGGATTTGGGTATGATAAGGAGAATTCTTGGTATGGAGATCATACACGATGGTTAATATCAACTAAACCATTAAACCAATGACTAATGTTTGTTTCCCACGATGAGGGACATTCAAAGTTCCCCACCCTAGAATCCTCCCTCAAACCAGTTGTGTTATCTATTTTGGTTCAACTGATAGGTCCGATTTTGGTTTTAAAATTGAATATTTTCATAAATAAACCAACTATTTTATTATAAAACAATGTCTCTTAATATTCTTTTGCGAAACCCATTATCATAAGAAAAAAGGAAATATATAATAATATAAAAGTATTGATTATTAATTTAGATATTTTATTATATTAATCATATTTTAGTTTCTCTCTATGTCAAGTGTGTATGTGCATTGTTCCAACCTATATTTTAGATGCTGGTCGTGTCAAAGTGTCCATCCATGATTCCATGTTGTGTTCAGTATCATGATAGAGTCCATGCTTCATAGATTAATAGTTAAATCATAATTAAATAAATAATATGACTTAAGATAATCAAATCATAAATAGCCAATTCATGGACTGACTGATGGAATGATCTAGTTCATTAGATTTTTAATTGCCAAAAATGAAAAACACAGGAAGGATTCATACACCATTAATTTGAAAGTCATTTGATCATTCACTAACATAGAATAATGGTTATTTTATTTTACTTGAGAGTTGAGACTGACTGGGTTGTAAACATCAAAGAAGAGAAGGAAGAAATCTGAGCATTTTTGTTGCCCTACAAAAAGAAAAATGACAAAATGCTCCAAATATTTTGTTCCTTATTCCTAAAATACACAGCAGTTCAAATATCGACAACTATTCAAACCTCGAGTTTTTCTCATTTGGCTTTACACGTCTTCATATATTGCTTTATACTCTGTCACAGTACATCATAGTTTATGAGTTAATTACTCGCATCAACCACTTCCATCAAGCTGTCCAAGAGAAAGGAGGTGCGCCATATATTGCTGTAAGAAGTCAAACACGTCATAATTTTTGCTAGTTCCGTAAACACTTTAGAGATCCAAAAGAAATGGAATAAAATGTAATAAAATTCAGCAAACACAGAAGCATGGTCGAAATTATGCTAAATAATTTTATGCAAAAAATAAAATAAGAGTATTCTACTAGGGTTTGTTTAATTATTTAGTTTAGGGTATTTGTATTGCTTCAGTAAAAGGAAATGTATTTGTATTGCTTCTGCCATAGCTTTTATTGCTTTGTTATACTTACTTAAAGAACATAAAGAGAAAACCCTCAAGCAAAAACCTAAGGTTTGCCTACTTTGAGAAAAAATTTCTACTTTCTAAGGTCTATCTACTACTTTGATAAAAATCTCTTATCATAGATTCCACATTGATCATATGACAAAAATAGTGTACATAAGTAAAAAAAAAAAAAAAAAAAAAAACCAATTAAAAAAAAAA